GTGACTCCGAGACTTGAACCTGATCAGTCAGCAGATGTGGGTTCGAGCGAGGAAGAAGATCTGGCACTGAGATTCGAGCCTGCATTATTAAGTGACTTGGAGGGGAGTCAAGTAGAGGGAGAGGAGTTGGATTTGAGAGATGAACCTGATTTATTGGAGGATTCAGAGTCCGCTCTCTCCCCTGAATCTACTTCCCTGATTGCACCTCAGGTGTTAACTGTTAATCAGGAAAGTGTGTCAGAGGCTTCAAGCTGTGATGAAACTGCCGGATGCTGGCTGGGTGCCAGAACTGGGAGAAGATTGGGACGTCAATCTCAATTAGAAAAGAGACGTCCAGCAAAGGATTAATTAATGAGACTGACACGCCCTCTCTCAGAGGATATAAGGGAGCGTACGAGTTCGTAACCTTTGCTGGAAACAAAGTGGATTTTGCCTTGGAAAGAAGTGCGTCTGACTACAGCGTTGTGATTTACGAACTATACAGAATTGCCGGACAGATTCTAGGAGGATCGCCAAAGGACTGCGATAACAGAGCAATTGAATCTTCTGTCTCTGGTTTTGTTTACGTAAAGTATTTGAACTCTGTAACTTGAAGTTTTCATCTGTGGATACAGGTGGGACAGAACACATATGTATAAATTTTACTTCACCGTTTACAATCCTCTTGTTTGAGACATTGCTTGCTAATTCTTCTGATCCTCGTAGCTACTTATGTTCCGACTTTGCCTTCGTCTGTGCAACCAGTGACACAATTAATTCAACGTTTCATAATACTCCGATTCACCCCCCCCCCCCTTTTTTTTTTTTAAATTCTAGGTCCGATTCTGCACAGGCCGTAATTTTCCTTACGATCTCTGTTTCGGGCGGTGTGCTTTCCTTCTTCCAGTATTGCCCATATATTATTCTAGCCACCATCCACACATGTACTATTAGATAAAATCAAAACCCTTCCTATATCCTTCTGGTATTATTCCTAAAAGGGAAAAAAAAATTAACCTTCGGACCAGCAAAGTCAACGGAGGAGGAGGCCAGATTCACATCCCAAGGGTGCAGGGGTGGGTTGCAAAAATTTTAGCAGCCAGGTTCTCTGCCTGGTTGCTGGGTGGGTGTGGCGCATGGTGGGCGTGGCCTAGTCAGACTCCTGCACCGCCGGGGGCGGGGGGGGGTCATTTTCACCTTCCCCAGAGTCCAGAGGCTTCCCTTGGGCCTCTGGGAGGCCAAAAATGTCCTCCCCTGGGATCCAGAGGGTCTCCGGAAGTTGGAAACAGACCCGTTTCTGGACTTATGGAACTTCTGGGAGTTTACCTGGGATCCAAAATGTGCCACCTGGAAACTCCTGGGAGGGGAGGGGCTGGGCGAGCGGGCCCAGCCACAGTCATTGCAACGATTGGTTCCGTGAACCAGATTTAAAAGGAGCAAGGAGAGAAGCAACCCGGAATGAAGGAGAAACTTTCCCACAAGGGAGGACAATTAACCAGTGGAACGGCTTGCCACCAGAAGTTGTGGCTGCTCCATCACTGGAGGTTTTCAAGAAGAGATTGGGCAGCCCATTTGTCTGAAATGGTATATAAGGTTTCCTGCCTGAGCAAGTGGTTGCACTAGAGGATAACAGATAACAGATCATCAGAGTTGGAAGGGACCTTGTAGGTCATCTAGTCCAACCCCCCGCCCAAGCGGGAGACCCTACGCCATTTCTGACCAATGGCAGTCCAGTCTCTTCTTAAAAGCCTCCAGGGATGAAGCTCCCACAACTTCTGAGGGCAACTTCTGTTCCATGGGTTGTTTATTCTCACTGTCGGAAAATTCTTCCTTATTTCCAGGTTGAATCTCTCTCCTTGTTCCGTTTCCATCCATTATTCCTTGTCTGGCCTTCAAAGGTGCTTTAGAACATGGCTTGACCCCCTTCCTCCTCTCTGTGGCAGCCCCTCAAATATTGGAAGACCGCTATCATGTCTCCCCTGGTCCTTCTCTTCACTAGACTAGCCAGGCCCAGTTCCTGCAACCGTTCATTGTATGTTTTAGCCTCCAGTTCCCTCATCATCCTGGTTGTTCTTCTCTGCACTTTTTCTAGAGTCTCAACATCTTCTTTTAATAATGTGGTGACCAAAACTGGATGCAGTACTCTAGGTGTGGTCTTACTAAGGCTTTATAGAGTGGTATTAGTACTGGTATTACTGGTATTAGATGACCTCCAAGGCCCCTTCCATCTCTGTTATTCTGTAAAGTATTCTGTAAAACCCCAGAAGGTTGGAGGCTGCTGGACTAGATGACCTCCACGTTCCCTTCCAATTCTGTTATTCTGCTGTTTTTCGTTTTGTTTTTTAGTGAGTGCCACCATGTTTGAGAACTGCACCGGTTGCGTTATGTGCTCCGAAGACAACGGCTGCGTCTCCTGCCAGCAGCGCCTCTTCCTCCTCATCTGGAGGGATGGGATCCGACAGTACGGGGCCTGTGTCCACGCCTGCCCACTGGGCTACTATGGGCAGCGAAGCCTGGACGTCAACCGATGCATCAGTAGGTAGCCAGCGTTGTAGGAAGCAAATTCTCAAGAGTTGTGAGCGTGTGAGCCAGAGGTGGTATTCCAGCAGGTTCTGACTGGTTCTGGAGAACCGGTAGCGGAAATTTTGAGTGGTTCGGAGAACCGGCCAATCCCACCTCTGACTGGCCCCGCCAACCCCATCTCTTCTCTGCCTCCCATTGAGTCCCAGCTGATTGGCTGGGTCTTCTTTGGTTGCCCTGCACAGGAGAACGGAGCTGGAAAGCAGGTTAGTGGGGTGGGATGCAGGGGTGGGATGCTACCAGTTCAGCACGGTTCTATAGAACCGGTAGCTCTGAAGAGCAGCAGACACTGAACTGCTTCGGCGTCTGCTGCTCTGTTTGGCCCACCCAACCGCCTGGGTTCATACCTGTCCTTTATTTCATGCTTTTTCAACCTCCGCTGCTTTGCGCGGCACAGCGGAGGTTGAAAAAGCAGGAAAGAAGAGGAGTTTGAAATGCTGTGCACCTGCGCGCAGCGCTTGTCAGTTGTCTGTGTGGCACAGCTGAGGAAATGGACCACACATACACACACACACACGCAAAATGCATTCTCACCAGGGGTGGGATTCTACCTGCCAGAGAACTGGCAAATCGCACCACTGGCTGGCCCCACTCCACCCCACCCACTCCTTACCTGGCATGCGTGCCATCAAACTTGCCTGTAAAGTTGCTATTTTTCCTTTTCCCCCCCACCCCGACCATCAGCTGTTCTGCTCTGCCAGGAGATTAAAATTAGCTAGAAAGCAGGAAATGGTGAATTTCTTGCTTTCTAGGTAATCTAAAAGCAGAGCTGAACCTTCCTTAGGACCGAAGCTTCTATTTTTCAGTGCAGTGACTCAGGTAGCAGATTGCAGAAAGATAGATCTCTCAGTGAATCTGTGATTCTGTGAGCAACTCAATCTGCCTGCCTGCTTTGCCTGATTTTGGATAAAAGTTGCTCTTTTTTTAAATAAAAAATAATAATATTTACATACCTGATGTGTTGTTAGTTAATTTTGCAAACAAATTTTGCTTGCAAGCAAATTTTATGTGACAGACTGAGCTAGCCGATGGCAGATAGATAGATCTCTGAATGAATCTGTGATTCTGTGAGCAACTCAACCTGCCTGCCTGCTTTCCCTGATTTTGGGTAAAAGTTGCTCTTTTTAAAAAAATAAAAAAATTCAATATTTATATAAATATTTATAATATTTACATACAAGCCATGCCCGGCCAGTCACATGACCACCAAGCCATGCCCAGTCAGCAAGCCATGCCCAGTCAGTCACATGACCACCAAGCCACACCCACAAATTAGTCCACACCCACAGAATGGGTTGTTAAGAAATTTGAATCCTAGGGGGAGGGAATGGAGATTTTGCAGTTTCTGTCAGGATTCCAGCAATCACCCTAATGAAATCATGATTCTCGAGCCAAACTTCAAAAAACTTCAAAGGATCCATTAGAGGCGACATCCTGGCCCTGCCCTGTATGAAGCCAACTCTGGCCTACATAATTTCCTGTCCTCTGTGATCCTGTTTCCCCTCTCCCCCCTGGGTGTGTCATAAATCAGATTCTCCCATTGAGCACCTTCACAGGCTGGGTGTCATCATTCACGTTCTCCAATTGAATATATTCATGGGCAAAAGCCCTGGTAGTTTAGTTACAGTCTTTTAAAGATGAAGAGTTGGAATGTATTTTCACTTTCAAACTGCTGCACTGCTCTTCCGGATTTCCTTTCTCTTCTCCCCCACCCTTTTATTTTTCATGGCAACTACTAAAACAAGCATAGAAATGTCTTATGAGTTGACAGTATCCTTCCCCAAGGAGTGGGGAGGGAATGTGGATTTTACAGTATCCTTCCTTTGCCACACCCACCAAGCCACAACCACCAAAGCACACCACGCCCACCAAGAGAACCGGTAGTAAAAAAATAATAATTATGAATCCCACCACTGGTGTGAGCAAAATAGAAACATACCAGTAGAAGGAATGTGTGCAATTTGGGGGCAACTGCCAAGTTCTCAGTTCTCACTCCTCTTTATCAGATTAGTTTTCATTTATTCAAGAAATTAAAATAGGAATTTCAAAGAAAAAAAAAATTACAAAGGCAAAACCAAACTAGGCAGATTTTTTTTTTGAAAAAGAACCGCCTTAAAAAAAAAAAAGATAAAAACACATATACACGTAAGATAAAAGAAGCTTTATTGTCGCTTGTGATCGGGATGGATCAGAGATAAACTTTTGCAGCTAGGACAGAACCAGAACTCCCAGCCTCCTGGCGATTGGCTCAAGATCACGCGACTAGCTTTTGTACCTAAAGCCACCCAGTTGGCTTTCATGCCTAAGGCGGAACTAGAACTCACTTTCTCCTGGAGATTGGCCCAAAGTCACCCAGTTGGCTTTCATGTCTAAGGCGGGACTAGAACTCACCGTCTCCTGGTGATTGGCCCAAAGTCACCCAGTTGGCTTTTATGCCTAAGGCGGGACTAGAACTCACTGCCTCCTGGGGATTGGCCCAAAGTCACCCAGTTGGCTTTCATGCGTAAGGCGGGACTAGAACTCACTGTCTCCTGGTAATTGGCCCAAAGGCAGCCAGACGGCTTTCATGCCTAAGGTGGGACTAGAACTCACTGTCTCCTGGGGATTGGCCCAAAGTCACCCAGTTGGCTTTCATGTCAAAGGCGGGACTAGAACTCACTGTCTCCTGGGGATTGGCCCAAAGGCAGCCAGACGGCTTTCATAACTAAGGTAGGACTAGAACTCCCAGTTTCCTGATGATTAGCCCAAATTCACCCAGTCAGTTTTTGTGCTTAAAGGTGGAACTAGAACTCACCTTCTCTTGGGGATTGGCCCAAAGCCAGCCAACCACCTTTCATGCCTAAGGTGGAACTAGAGACCACCATCATCTTGTGATTGGCCCGAAGTTACTCAGCTAACTTTGATAGCTAAGGCAGGACTAGACTCCCAGTCTCCCAGTGCTTGACCCAAAGTCATCCAACCAAAGTCAGGGTCTCTGGTTACTCGCCTGGTGTCTTAACCACCGGATTAGACCAGGGATGGGAGTCAAAAATCCCAACAACTGGTTCTCTGCCCAGTTGCTGGGTGGGCGTGGCCTACCGGAGCTTCCGGTTTGGTCATTTTTCACCTTCCCCAGAGTCCTGAGGCTTCCCTCGGGCCTGTGTGAAGGTGGAAAGGGCCTCCCCCGGACTCCGGAGGCTCTCCAGAAATGGAAACAAGCCTGTTTCTGGACTTCTGGAACTTCCGGGGGGCTGTTTTTTTAACCCTCCCAGAGCCTCCGTATGGACCCTGCATTTACCTGCATCCCAAATGGGCCGCGTGGAGACTCCTGGGAGGGGAGGGGAGAGGCAGGTTGGGCGTAGCCAGCCAGTCAGTTCAGCTACCATTTTGGCGAACCACATTGTAAATGTTAATATCCGTTTCTCACGAACCGGGCCAAACCGGCTGAATCCTACCCCTGGACTAGACCAAACTGGCTCTCTCTGAGAGACAGACTCCATTACGGTCGTAAGCTGAGGACTAGCCGTATGGGCATGCCAGGAATCAGACTGAGTTTAAAGGTGGCTTTTTCTTAACACGGAACCTCTCCGTTCTTAGAATGCCGGTCGCCCAACTGCGAGAGCTGTTTCAGCAAAGACTTTTGCATGAGATGCCAAGAGCGCTTCTACCTGCACAAAGGGAAATGCTTAAGCACCTGTCCTCCTGACACCATGGCCTGGCACAGCACCCGGGAATGCCAAGGTAAGGCCAAGCTGCAGGAGGGAGTAGCCCCCCCCCCCGACACCCTCCACCTTCTTCCCCCATCCTGCAGGATTCTGAACAATCGGGTGCAAAAGCAACGTCGAATGGACTGTGCCACGAGCTGAACTGAGGTCCAGAGAGGGCTTGGCTTGCGTCCTGTGCCCACCTAGGGACTCACTACCACCCGGGTTCAACTCAGAGCTGGGCTAGATGGACAAGGAGCTTGGCAATTGGTAGAAGAGAATATCGGGGGCTCGGAATCGAACTGTGGGGTCCTCGGTGCTCTCTGAGATTGGCGGTTTTCTTGCGGACGTTTCATGACTCGTGTTACCTAGTTTGGTAATGAAATGTCAGCAAGTAGACCACCAAGCTCAGAGAGCACTAAGGACCCCACAGTCATTGTCCTCCTCCTCCTCCTCCTCTTCCTCCTCCTCCCCCTCCTCCTCCTCCCCCTCCTCCTCTTCCTGCTGCTCCTCCTCCTCCTCCTCCTCACACCCCACTCCCTTCTAGCACTGATGATGTTACCTAGTTTGGGTAAAGAAATGTCTGAAAGAAAACAAGCAAGCTCAGAGTGCACCAAGAATCCACAGTCGCCCTCCTTTCTCCTTCCTCCTCCCTTCTCCCTCTTTCTCTTCCTCCTCTCCAAGAGCCCCACTCCCTGCTAGCACTGATAATGTTCCCTAGTATGGTCATGAAACATCTGCAAGAAAACCATCAAACTCAGACAGTACCAAGGCCCCTACACTCCTCCTCCTCCTCCTCTTCCTACTCCTCCTCCCCATCTTCTCTTCCATAAATTTCATTCTGCAAACACCATTCAAACACAGACGATGATGTAGTTGGGTCACCTAGTTGGGTCATGAAATGTCGGTAAGAAAACGACCCAGCTTAGAAAGCACCAAGAATCCACAGTCCTCCTCCCTCTCTCCACAAATCCCTCTCCCTTCTAGCCCTGATGATGTTCCCTATTTTGGTCATAACCTGCTAAATTTGTTTTATTGGAATGGAATGAAATAGAATAGAAATAGAAATAGAAATAGAAATAATAGAAATAGAAATAATAGAAATAGAAATAGAAATAGAAATAGAATAAACAGAGTTGGAAGGGATCCTGGAGGTCAACTAGTCCAGTGGTCGCCAACCAGTGGGCCGGGGACCAATGGTGGTCTGTGAGAAAATTTTGGTGGTCTGCAGAGAAATGTCACCCCCAAAGCAATTAATCCAGGCTGAGTGGGAACACAAGGCTTGCGTCGCTTGCACTGCGAACAACATGAGGTAGTAAGGGGTGGAGGGAAAGGGTGGAGGGGGGAAACTTGCACTACTCACCTGGCCTGGCCACCGGGCTGCTTCTTTCCGCTTCTTTCTCCTTCTGCTTTTGGCTGCACGCAAGGAAAGCAGCCAAAGTCTTTCTTTCTCTCCCCCAAACTCCGCCAGAAATGAGCCTTTGGGACCCTGCAAGGCCTCCTGCTCCAAGAGGCTGCACCGGTAAAGACTCATTTCTGGCGGAGTTTGGGGGGAGAGAAAGAAAGACTTCTGCAGCTTCTGCTGTTTTCCTTGCATGAAGCCAAAAGTCTCTCCCTCTCTTTCTCTCTCCCCCTGAGAACGGAGCTGGAGACGGTATCCGGTGACCCCAAATAAAGAATGATCGATCGGTAGGAAAACGGGGTGGGGGATTTTCCTGCAGACTTTTTGGGGGATTTTCCCAGGGTCTCTGGTCCGCGGGACTTAAAATGAGGAGTTTGGTGGTCCCTGAGGTCCAAAAGGTTGGCGACCCCTGTTCTAGTCCAACCCCCTTGCCTAGGCAGGAAACCCTACCTCATGAAACATCTGCAAGAAAACAACCAAGCTCAGAGAGCACCAAGGACCCCACAGCATGGCAACTGACAAGATTCTAGTCCTCGTTGAGTCTCACTACTCTCTTTCATCTCTCCCTCTCTCCCCCACCCCCAGAAAACTGCGAGGCAGCCCCCTGGAGCAGTTGGAGCCCCTGCACCAAGCAAGGGCGGATGTGTGGGTACAAATGGGGCTCAGAGAGCCGAGTTCGGGAGACACTCTGGAGCGAGAAAGATGAGGCGGCTCTCTGTCCAGAGCTGTCCGAGTCCCGGAATTGTCGGATGAAGAGACATTGTCCCGGAGGTAAGATTTGAATGCCGGGCCACTCAGGGGTGGGATTCAAATTTTGTAACAACTGTGGGCGTGGCTAGGTGGCACGGCTAGGTGGGTGTGCCCATGTGACTGGGTAGGCGTGGCATTTTTTGCAGCACCCCCTCCATTTTGGGGGGGGCCTTCTGGGCCTCAGGGAAGCTTCTCGGGCGGCATTTTTGCTCCCAAAAGCCTTCCCTGGGGCTTAGGAAAGTAAAAACTAGCGCATAAGAGGGGTATGCAGCACCTTAGTACCTTAAGGAGTGACTGGGTGGGGAAGAACGCAGTCAGTGATGTTGAGCATGCGTGCAATGTTGCACATGTGCAATAAGGACTGGCTGGGAGGGGAGAGGTGGGGCCAGCCAGGGCCTTGATTTGCCGCTTCTCTGAACTGGGCAGAGTCATAACAACCGGTTCTATAGAACCGGTGTGAACCGGTAGAATCCCACCCTAGGCTGTCCTTAACAAAAGATCCTATGGTCTTCTCAGCCTTACCAGGTAAGACCAGACTGGAAATCTAGCCAGGTAAGCTAACCCGACAGCCTAGTCCTCGCCTTATGACCGCAACTGAGCTCAAAATCCCTGTGGCCAAGTGAGACATTTATGAAGTCAGGTTTGGCCCATTTTACCACCTTTGTTAGCACTTAGTAGTAGCACTTAGACTTATAGACCACTTCACAGTACTTCACAGCCCCTCTCTAAGCAGTTTACAGAGTCAGCCTCTTGCCCCGAACCATCTGGGTCCTCATTTTACCCACCTCGGAAGGACAGAAGGCTGAGTCAGGATCAAATTTCCTGGCAGTGGGCAGAGTTAGCCTGCCATGCTGCATTCAGACAGACAGACAGACAGACAGATAGATAAGATGATAGATGATAGATAGATAGAGTGAGTGAGTGAGTGAGTGAGTGAGAGGCAGAAATACTAGACAGACAGACATGGGGAGGGAGAGAGAGAGAGAGAGAGAGAGAGAGAAACAGTGAGAGACTGAATGATAGATAGAGAGGTAAGACATAGATAAATAAATAGCATTAGCACTTAGACTTATATACCGCTTCATAGTGCTTTCCAGTCCTCTGTAAGCAGTTTACAGAGTCAGCCTCTTGTCCCCAACCATCTGGGTCCTCATTTTACCCACCTCGAAAGGAGGAAAGGCCAAGTCAACTTGGATGGATGGGTGAGTGGATGGATGGATGGAGAGATATAGATGATATCTATCTATCTATCTATCTATCTATCTATCTATCTATCTATCTAT